CCTGGGAAACCCCACCCTGAAAACACGGTGTCAGGAAGTAATGCTTTGTCATAAGGAAATAAGCACAAGGGGGAAAAATATCCACAGTATCTTCAATCACTAAATGAAACAAACTATTTTAAAAAATGCAGTTCATAGAATCATAGAATGGTTTGGGTTGGAAGGGACCTTAAAGATCATCCAGTTCCACCCCCCCTGCCATGGGCAGGGACATCTTCCATAGATCAGGTTGCTCAGACTGTCAAGTTGTAAAGTGCAGAAAACCACTAAAAGGATGGATTACATCACCTTCAAGAGAGCATTCAACTTCTCTAGTAATGTAAGTATACACAGTATTTGTCCAAGGATACTCTGAGGTCTAGTAAGAAATCTTTATGCAAAGGAGTCACCTCCTCCTTAACTCTTCCACTAGCAGCCATAGTTGCAAGGTGTTCACACAGAAAGCATTTTCCTAAGCATGCATAAGACACAAAACCCACTCAAATTACCAGTTACTGAAGCCCTAAATACTTCCATTCACTTTAGAACAAAGTTCTTTTTGTTTCTACAGCAATCTCTAAGAAAGTAATTAGCATTCATTATCATTTATATCAACTTGTAAACATTCTCTTTTGAAACCCTGTGAGTGATATTTGGTTTTAAGACAAAGTCACTTTTCATTTCTATATGACACCTTTATTTTTCAGCTGCTGACTGACTCTAATAACTAACAGAAACAGGAAATGCTTCCCGGAAACAACCAGTATTCTGCGTCCTCTGCAATGTGGGGCACTGCTGATTTAAAATTAAAGCTCCCCATCACTTTTGAAAAAAAAAAAAAAAAATTGCAATAGTTTAAGAGCTCAGGGAGAAAGACAAAAACTGTTAGACAAGAGACCCAGAAACCTGAAGAACAGAGGCAACATCTCTCTAGTTCTCATATTATGTCTTCCCCCTACAAATGAAGAATCATTTGTAGTTTCCTGATCTCTCTGCCAGCAAAGAGAGGGGAGCAATACAACACAGGTAGAAGAATACAAAGATTATACAATTACTATTATGAGAGAGACACAAAATATAGTTTCATGTCAAGAACGCAAAGGAAAAGTCCACCTATCTTAGTATGTGCTCTCAGGGAGGACACAATCATCTAGTTTGGAGATGACAGAAAAGTCACTGCTGTGTAGCAGTTACTCACCTGTATTCATACAAATTTGCTTGTAATTAAAAGCATGTTTTTCCAAAATATTTAAGACTAGCAAGGGAAATACATTTTATCAGGCTTTGCTACAAAAGTAGCTGACATGTGAGTAGCAGTTAGAAAAATAAGAGGTCTTCAATCACAGATACTGCAAGGACAACTAAGCCAGTACAGCTGCAGAGAACTGTCCTGTCCTCCTCTGCTCCTACCCTCTATTTCCATGTCAAACCGCCTCCTTGGGTTGGCACAGCCATCTGTACAACAATAGTCTAGCTGACCTGAAGTGCTAAGGCTTGGACAACAAGCCCAAGCCAGAGTTGACCTATAGATGAATCCTGTGTATTTTATAACTGAAAAACATTGTGCTAGTAGGTATTGTACTAAGTTATAACAAATCACCTATTCTGATGTAAAAAGTGCTAAAACATTGAAATACTGAAGCCTGAACAACAGTGCCAAAGCCGAAGCTGCTAACTTGTTATGTAATCATTAACAAAGTACGTAAACGCGCTAGTGAGAGATGCAGCTTAGACAAAATATAATCAGGAGTGAGGAGAGAATGTATCCAACTTCCCTTGTTTAGCCTTGTTCAAGGCTGAGAACCCAAGTGTTTGGCCTTGTTAGAAACTTCCTTGGTTTTCCCCCGAGCCCTGGCCAGGCTTTGGGTAGAATCCAACAGGAGAATGAAACCAGAAATTTTCTGCTCAAAACAAAGGTCCCAGCTATTCCGGCTTGTCGATCTCTGGTATATAAGGCTGGACCCGCTCACAGTGACTTTGGGTGCCTCACCTATGGGTGGACGCACCGCGTAGGATTTCCCACTTGCCAGGACAGGCTCTCCAAACCCTCGCTGTAACCAGGGCTCCCCAGCCACCCCGGGTCTGGATGATGATAATATATCCAAGTGGTGATGTAGTTTTCTTAATCTCTATTCTCTCTCTCGTGTATTAATGACCCTGTATTTTCCTGTTTGCTGCTTTAAGTGCACTATTCTATTTTTTTCTTACTGCATGCTTTCTGTATTACACTGTTACATTACTTGGTTATCACTAGTAAAACACACCTACTCTTTTCACTCTGGTGTCTGAGTTTAATTGGTATCCTTAATCAGCAAAACAAGACTGGAGAATGAAATCAACCAAAAATAACCTCCACGAAAAAAAAGGAAGAGCAAAGCTAACTTTGCTGTAGTTTAGTTCCCCAGTATAATTCCCGAAACAAACCTCTGAGTTGGTACCAGGACAAGACTACACTTCCTCCCAACAACAGTGCTAAGTCAGCATGTTCAAAGCAGGTCCTCCGACTCCTAACTTCGTTCTCCGAAGTCTGCATCTCACACGCCTTGTACTCCTTTCACTAACACCATAGTTTATTGCATGACTTCCTCTACAGGTCATCTCAAACCTCTATCATATATCCCCCTTACATTTGAACATGATTGAAGAACAGCGGGCTGTATAAGGAAAACAAGGGGGGTTTCGCAAAACTGTACAAATACTAAATTGAAGAGGAATCAGGTGAATCACGCAACCCTCAAAAGCACAGAGCAGGAGCATGGAGTCAGCACAGCAACATCTCTGCAGGTTGGCCAATGCTTCTGCAGCAATGGGAATAAACAAGACCTTTTCAATGTCAGGCATTAAAAACCAGCCCAAGTCTTGACCTCCACAAAGATTCAGTAAAAGGCACAAATTCAGCCAAAACACCTTTTAATCTGAATTTAGTACCTTTAGACCTCAGAGGTCAATAATGATTTTACAATGACCATTTTCATGCTCTGCTTTAGTGCATTGTTTCCCTTCCCCATCTACACTGTCCTTTACCCTGGTGAGGGATTGCAAGACACACCATCTTTGAGTGGTCTATTACCCTCTACAGCAGCTTTCTGTGCAGACTACATTTCCAGACAACACACTCTATCTTCCAGACTAGGGAGAATGAAGCCCAAGCAATTCATTACTCTAGTGTTTGTGGTGTCATAAAAGGCCGTATCTTTTATCCCCAAATTATGTCTCCTCACCCAACTGTACAGCATTTTCTCACAAAAACATAATACACACACCAAGCTTCAACAAGTTTTCTGAAATACTCCTTAGGCTCTGAGTGTGTTTGCTCACTTTATTTTTGATGGTGGGCTTCCAAATAGCCATTGTTCACAGTAATGCTTCAAAACAACCATTTTAGAGGTAGAAAAACACAGCCAAACTTTGATTCAAAGGGATTTTGGGGGGTTGTTCTATTTAATTTAAGCCCTCATCTGTCTTCATGGGACATCATCACATTTTTGGTGAGACTGAAAATATTTGGAGGAGCCCCTTCACACTGCTATACTCATTTTACTTCAAATTCCAATTTAACAAACATTTTTAAAAAATCAGTTTCTCTGGGTAAAGCTACATCTTAATATGCAAGTAACTATTAACTACTGATATAAGCTATTCTTGTTAAAAAACATGCTCTAAAAAAACTGGGAGACAGTTCCAGAGAAATGGCAGAGATCTTTAAGCACAAGCTACCAAGGTAGTTTCCTTCAAGGAAGGACACTTTCTTCAGGGTTTGATACCTTCCTTGTCCAGTTTTCTTCTCAGGTCTCTCAAAACAATACCCCTTTAGTATACCATAAGTAACTGTTCTTAAGAATATTGTTAAAAATACGTTTCTCTCCCTTCAGTCCTCAGCTCTGGAATACACATTTCAGTTGTGTTAACTTTATCCCAGCCATCCATAAACTATTTTGGAGCAACTGAGTGACATCTCTAAATATTTTAGTTTCAGCAATCCAAAAAAACCTTTTTTTTAAGTACTGAAGCCGAGGACTACTTTTACTTTATTTCAGGCGAGGAAGAGTTAAAAGAGTTAGTCCTTACTGTAACAGCACACAGAAGCCGGCAGAAACGAGTGCCTTAAAGGAAAGGCAGAATTTAGCGTTTGAACGATCTTTGAACGACTTCGAGTCACATGTAAACACTGACGATCGCCGCTAGAGGCTGCCACAGGACACCTGTAAATTTTTCCCTCCATTTTAAGGGAAGCGGCACAACACCGGCATATCAACTATTATCAAGTTGATACTTAACATGCTTTAACTCTCCAAAGAATAAAGGAAAAAGCAAAAGATTTCTTTAAGGGTTCTTAATTCCACCGGAACACTAAAAGTAAAATACTTTTGTTCTTATTTTTATTGAGGACTGAGTCGAATTTTAAAGCACTTTCAATATACCACCATTTTACTTTATGCTAAAATCAGGTCACACTCCACAGCTCGTTCTGTATAACGACAACATAAAACTGTTAATTAGTAAAAAACCCTCAAAGTTTATTATACAACAGAATGCAAATTTTTTTACAAAAATTTATGCAACTTAAAATCAAAAGGAAAGCATAAGTCTTCTATAGCATAGTATTGATATGAACAGAATAGTTTGCAATTTCAGTACTGAATACTGTTTCTAGATTTCAGTATCACTGCAAAATATTACTATTTTATTACTGCATTTCAGCCCCAATGTTGCTCTCAGTAAAGCAAATAACTCCTAGTGAGACAAACAGAGCTCCTGTTAATGAGAACGGGGCATTATTTTCAAACAAACAGAACAGAAACCAAGGCTGACCCTGCTCTTTTATCATTTCTAGTGAACTGAACTTCTTTCAGCAGCAAACATCAAATGTTGCTACACTGACTTCGAGTTTCTTACCAGGTCACACACAAAGCAACATCTTTACATCATCATTTGAAAACTGACCGCATCACACTTTCAAGTACACAACTTACTACCACCTGAAGTCGCGCCCTCCCTAGTTTAAGGCCTATCACGCACACCTGATGCTGGACGATGGCTCACGCCCACCGGGGCAGCAGGGCTCAGGACGCACAAGCACCCGCCCGGCCCGGGGGCCCCACACTGTCCCGGCCAACGCAACCAGGGCATCGAGCCAGCCGACAGGAGCCTTAGAGCCCGAGCCCCCGAGCCGAGCCCCGCACCCCTGACACCTCCGGCTGTGCGGCCCCCGCGAGACGCGCAGATCGGCCGAGACCCCAAGGGCCGGGGGGCGCACTCCTGTGCCCACCCCCACAACCGGGGAACCGGCGCAAGCCCGCGAAACCGACCCGGCAGCGGCCCCC